TGCAGGAGTTTGATCTTAACTGACTCAAAGTTGACTCAGCCTTCCATCCTTCTGAGGCTGGTAAAATGAGGACCCAGACTGTTGGGGGCAATATGCTAACATTTGTAAACCGCTCAGAAATTGTGGAAAACACTATGGAGAGGGACATAAGTCCTACTGCTATCATGGACATGTAAAAACTCTGAAGAAGCTGCTTCAATAACTTCTTAATAAACTTGAAAAAAAAATGTATGGTAGCTTTCATTGCAGCCAAACACTCTAGTTCTTTTATGTTTCCAAAAGTCAGGTTTTACACTTAAATGCATTAATCATACATTGTTAATGTATTTGACTTCTTTCTTCTGAATCAATTATGTTGCTGCTGCAACAAATTTCCCATATGAGAAGATTGGTGGATGCTACAGGAAAAACAAGCTGATTTTGCTACAGCACAAATTTTAAAATAAAAATATAATTATATTCCTTGTTATAATTTGTCTGTCACAATCACCAAAATCAAATTTCTGCATCATATGTGCAAGCAGCCCAAGTTTAACATTATTATTTTTATTGAAAACTTTCAAAGCTGCTCAAATGACATTATGCAAAATGTCTTTCATCTGAAAACAGATAATATGTAGCTAACAGACATACAATTTCATTTAGCAAAAATTCAAAGTTAATTCCAGTTCCTCTTACCAACTAGCTGCCAAGCTTAAATTTTTTTCTATCAATTTATGACAGACTGGCTAATTGCATCTGGCTCAAATCTCAATTATCTATTCTCTGAATGCTGATTTAAGGTAAGTTTTTTCTCACCCCAGGCAGAAAAGAGAAAATTTCCATACATAAATTGTACTGATTATTATTATTATACAAACAGCTCTATTGGTTTTTTACTCAAAATAAAAAATCCTCTTCATTTTTGTTCCATAATCAAATGGTTCCAAAATGTTGGCAAAGATGGACTGGAGCAGAAAGTGGAATTTTCAGAAAAGGAAGAAAAGGTGAAAACAGTGATCTTGGCACAGAAATTTGTCTAGTGATTGGGAAGAGTGAAATTGGAAACCAACCATTCTGAATCATTAATGAATTACAGCTAGTTACTCTGAACTTAAGTTACCTTTGAAAAAATAAAACACAAGTTCTCTTAGAATTCTTCCAAAATATGTATATGCATGCCTTTCTTAACTCAGACCATCTTTATTTAAGATTTTTTTTAAAAAAAATCTGGATTGTACTGTTCAGTATAACAACTCTGAAATCACTTACTTTTTTTTGTATATGAAAACCATTTACATCCATGTCAGCAATAATGGCTGAATAAAGGTTTCCCCCAGGGATAGTATTATGTCTATTATGGGCAATTTGTAACTGTATTAAATCAAAATGCTATGAGCCATTTAAGTTTAAGATTAAATTGCTTGGGTCTTTTTGTTTATTATAAAAATATGTCTTTATAAAAGGAAGCGGAAGAACTTGAGCTAAAGTTTCTTGAAAAAACTGGACCGTTTCTTGGGTATCAGGGCCAGCTCTTACTCTGAGATGGGTCACTTCAGAGGACATTCAGATGGAAGCAAAGCTAGAGAGCATTTGAAGCAGCTAGAAACGTTAGGATGTGGGGCTTGATCCAGGAACACCTCCCAGCACTAAAGTTTGAGTGAAAGGCAGAAGGAAGACCAAGGCAAGGGCATTCCTAGCAGTGATCATATGCACCAGGTGTGTGTATGGGAGGATGTGTGTGTGTGTGCTAATTTAGAGCCACTCTTAGCAAACAAACTCTTGTTGGGAACAACAACTGGAAAATCTGCCTCTTTGCACCCTGAAGTCTTAGTATATAGAAATTGTTCCTTTGAATCTGGACCAGCTGACAACCTACCCATCATACTGAGATCTTTGGGCCATGTATCTAAAATGCTTTTGCCCATTGCTTCAGACTTAGATATTGAAAACTTCCTTACAAACAAGTTTTTAGAGATGGGACTGTTCAAAACTGTGCATGCAACTGCACACATGTCTTGCCTGCCACTACTTATAGTTACATGAAGTAGAATAAGGCTAGAGAGCATTTGAAGCCTTTGCAAATGAACATGACTTTAGTGTGTGAATGTGCACACATCTGAGATAGGACATTGGAGATCTATATTAGTAAGGAAATATGTAAGATGCCCACAAAGCAATGTTATTCAATGGAATGATAGCACATGTGAAACTTGTTTTTATAGAGGGACAGAACCTTTTACCGTGTTATGGGATTATTATGGAATGTAAGACACTATGAATCCAGCATGGCACTGAAAGTAATTGGGTAAAAGACTTAACATTTTGTCTACCATTCAGTAAAAAAAAAAGCATTATGGCTAACTCACTGGTACATCATCATTATTCTAATAAACAGAGGCTGTCCATATTCATTTAACCTCTGCTCCAAGGACAGTGTATTGGAATTGACAGCACTCAGTATTACTATACATGGTGTTCAATTCCTGCCTTCCTACAGTAATATGAAACTACTAGCTGTAGAAGGTAAATAAGGGGTAGAACGGGAGGAAGGGGGAGGGAGAAAGCAGGCCCAGGAATTTTACCAGATTTACTTTCCTGCTGTCTAGAAAGTACAGAATACTGCAACCTACAAATATATGTGTGAAGTATAGCAGAAACTCTGCTAGCTGCAAGATATGCTCCATTAGTAACAACAGACATTTCACTTCTATGCATAATAAGAAATGAAGGATGGATCTATATTATTTGCAGAAGTAAAGAAAACAATCATTGCACATAAAAACTCTGTACATTCAAATTCCTGTCACACTCCAACGCACATTTATCCAAGAGTAAACCTATTAAATCTTTGTTAGGCAACAAGCTTAATTACATGAGCTGTGTTTAAGCATTTACCTATACATATGAAGGACTCTTTCCAATCTTCATGCATTCAAAAAGGTGATCCAAAAGGGAAGTACATTCACACTGATTAGAATACAAATATAGCTCTCCATCTGATCCAGGATATTTTACAGCATTTTCTACAATTGGGGCATGGGCTGCCTCCAATTCAATGCTGATTCTCAGTGAATGCCTAGACTAGTCTGCAGTTTACTTGGCAAGATTTCAGGAGTACTTTGCCATTGCTCCCTTCCTAGGGCTGAAAGAGAGTGACTGGCCCAAGATGCCCCAGCCAGCTTCAGGCCCAAAGGACTAAAGTGTCCTGGTTGCCTAAGCCGCTATCCCAAATGTCTCCCTTCTATTTTCTACAAAGTTTATTTTAAATAGGTTTTACACCCTGAAGAAGAAATAAATATTCCCAAACTAGATAACTTGTCTCTCTTATAAAGTAACCCTCAACTCTACACTTTTGTTAACTTGACTCTCCATCATCATCATATATTAATGCATATTGTGTACTTCTAATAGATAACACATTTTTTTAAAAAAACTTTAAAATTATAAGCATAGATTAAAACCTTTCTAAGCTGAGAGAGAGGGAGGGGAGAGAGGGAGAAATTTTATTTTCAGTAATTTTTTAAAACTAATTCAGAAACCTATAATAGAAAATCTGGGAAACTTCTTTAAAAATCTTTTCCTTCTACGTAACTATTATCACCTCTGCATTGTACCTCTGACTCGTAGAATTAGACAAAAAAAGTGACTCATGACGTACAAAAATCTTTCATCTAAAGAAAGAGAGTTTATATTAAGGTGTAGGGATATTTTTCCTTTGTATTCTAATCAGAAAAAAACCCTTAAAAACTATTTGTGATTTAAATGTGATTTTATAATTCGAGCTGTTCAATTCCTTGGTAAAAGGTACTTTGGAATAAGGGAGAGCACATACCAAGCACCTCTTTTCATAATGGTAAAGCTGCTGTGACTTCTTCTATTATCATGTGGCTGTTCTGAAAACTGCTCCAAAGCAACGTCACAAACAGCCATTCAAGCCAGGAGAAAAGATAGTGATGCTTTAAGGATCTGAAAAGAGCCTCTTTTAATGTGTTCTCACATATTCCAAACTCTTCTGGAACAATAGCAAAGGCTTAATTATAACCTTGCTTTCTGGAAATGTGGGAATGAATCAAAAAAGTTTACCACTGGTTCTGTAGGTGTGGCTTGGTGGACAGGGAAGGAGAAGGATACTGTAAAATCTCCAGTCATAGGTGATATTTGCGGGTTCTCCAAACTACTCAAAATTTCCGCTACCAGTTCTCCAGAACTGGTCAGAACCTGCTGAATACCACCTCTAGAATGAATGCAGTATACATGAAAATGCATAATCATTATTTTTATTAAGAAAAAGATACAATTCATTCACCCATTTCCATCTGTTTTTCTAATATAAAGTTCTAAGAATATGTATATAAGTGTACATAAATATATATAAATATGTGTGTGTGTGAGTGGGATGGGGAAGAGATAGAGACAGAGAGTCAAGGAACATTTACAAAAGACACAGAATTAGAATGTGGTCAGTTGACATGATGATACCCAAGAGTCTGTCTTCTGAAACATCCACTCAAAGTTCTATTTCTCTTCTTATTTATTCAAAGTAACCACAATGAGCTAAAAACTGACATGTTGTGAAATGACTCTGAAGCATTGAAGGGAAAGGAATCAGCCATGAAGAAAAGTGAAAAAGGAATAGGATTCTATGCTCTGCAATATTTAACCTTTAGAATATTTAACCTTTAACAATTAGCTCACATCTTCTCGATGGATGAAATACTGTAAATCTTTCCAGATGTAACATTATGTTGTTAACTTCAACAATCACAAATATAGTTTTACTACATATATCCTTACAGATTCCTGAAAGAATTACTTAGAACAGTGGTTCTTAAACTGTTTCAGGCAAATATCTTTTTTCTGGGCTTGAATAATGTCATTACCGCAGGAAAAAAATAAATTCTTGTTATTTTCACAAGCATCCTAGCAATGGTAGTCTCAAATTGGATCCTTGACTTAAAAACCAGCAATTAGCAATTGCAAATTATCCCCAGAATATACCCAGTTTAAGATCCACTGACCTACGCTAAGATCTTGACTTTAGATGTGGTGTCTGCAGCTTCTTTGCACCCCCTTTCCTCAGTAATTTCTTCTCTGGTCCACGAATTAAAGCCAATTTTCACTGGACCATCTATCATGCAGGAACTGCTGCTCTGTTCTGGGTACAACCATTTTAAGTAAAGAACTTGCATGAACAACAATGTGGTTTTTCAGCTGATTTTATCACCACAGGAATATCGGGGTAGTTTGACTTTCATTGCAGCCTTGAGAACAAAAATGTTTTTCTTTTTTATCTAAAACTTACTTTACATCAAGGCAAAAAGGCACATTATGATAAGAAAACTGGTGAAAGAATGACCTAAAACAGATTCTTTCTGCAAAGTATATTCTTTGCATATAAAGAGATGCTACTTCCTTTATCTATACTTACACTTTTTTACAGTGGGACAACTCTCTTAGATAGCAATTCAGTCTATTTTAGGAATTAAACAATACCTACTTTCTTGGAGAAATGTAATCAGATCAGAATTGTATAGTCATTTAGAACTGAAGATAGGACTTCATGCCCTTATCTTAAGGATCCATGGATAAAAAACAATGCTGGTTAGCAAGGAGAAGAAACATGGTCATTGACAAGTTGGTCAGTGAGGAAAATATATTGAAGTGGGAGAGGTGTTGAAAAAATGTTGAGGTAAAGGAGCTTGGTCCCGTTTGAAATCCCCAGACTTCATATGAAAAGTTCTTCAAAAATAAAATAGCTGTAATATTTCTTGCAAAACATAGTACTATGTATCAAGTGAGGTAGAACCTGCATTGCATGTAAATTAATTTCTGTATATCAGAAACAATTACCATACATCAATCTAGTGCAAATCACAGAATTCAATAGAAATGTTGCACTATTACCTTTACATATTTAAACAATTTGAATAACCGTTTTGAATAAGAGAACGAAAATGTATACCTGTAATTGTCTAAATAATTACATAAAACAACCAGCAGAGAAACATATGGAAAGAAGAATTAAAAGCAGTCGTCTTACCTTTCATTCCAAACTTAGAATGTCTTCCAAACTTGAGAATAATGAGCATAATAACTAAGCCAGTGCACACCAATGCAGCAATCCCCACTACAACATACACCTAAGAAAAAAAACAAGCAACAATAAATCAAACTGCACAATTTTTCCAAGTTTCATTGTTCTAAAAATATTAATTAGATTATTAGCTGTTAATATTAATACATTGGCAACATTCTTAAACATATAGTAGGAGTGGATTGGTGGGGGGTTTCTTCCATGTCTGGTTATCAGAGACTGCCTCAACAAGTCGCTACAGTTTCCTTGGCAAAATTTTTCATAAGTAATTTGCCATTGCCTCCTTTCCAGGGCTGAGAGAAAGTGACTGGCCCAAAGACATCTTGCTATTATTGTGCCTAAAGCAGGACTAGAACTTCAGTGCTTGCATAGCTTCTCTAACTTGGCATCTTCTCAATGTGCTTGGGCTACAAGTACCAGAACTCCGAGCTTACTAATAAAATCAAAGCAGAGTTATCTGGAGAGTGTAATTTGAGCTCAGGAGGAAGACACAATGCTGCAGAAAATTAAATGAAGGAAATGTGAACATGATTTTAAACCATAATGTGCCAACTTTCTAGTCATTTCAATTATTTCAGGGTGCACTGCAGCCTTTCAGTTAGCATTATGCTTTATTTTTCATGCTAAAGAAAACAAATTCAATGTGTAAATGAAAGCTGCATTCTTGTGGCTTGGGAGCCACCATTTCCTAGTATCAGCTGAAATGTATGAATCAAATTATGTAAATAATGTTATGTCTAAATTTGACCAGCTTGTCCTTAAAAAAATTGCTTCGCATTATAAAACCACAGCTAAAAGCTCCAGGGTACATGCAAAATAATGTCTTGTTGCAAGCTAAAATATCCTTGGCCTACATTCTTACTCAGAAAGTCTACTGTGATTTCAAACCAGGAAATGATGTTTATACTTACAGTGATGCTATCTTCATTGTCTTTGTTTGACACATCCGTAGAAGTAACTTGGTTACTATTATTTGTAGTGTCTTCAAAATCATTTGTTGGTGTTCCATAATCTTCTAAGAGAAAGAACATATTTATATTCTTTTAAGTATTGTAAAAAAAAAAGTGTGTGTCTGCTAAAAAAAAGGCTAAACACATACAATTAACATTTGCAAAGATTTAGGAACACACTGTTCAATTCTACTTATTTGCCATGTTGCTATATGACTTGTTTAGGACTGTAGTGCATAAAGTCAGAATGAAGATTACGGAAAATAACAGAAGATGTGCAGATATTTAAAGGGAAGGAGAAAAGCTACATTCATATGTACTGTGGGACAGAATACTAGACAAAATTAGAATATATGTAAAAAAGCTGTTGAAACATTCATGACTGCCTGACACAACTGAAATTCCCTAGCTTTCTCTGGTGCTTCTGGTCTCCCATTGTTTATGGGTTCTGTGTGTAACTTTAAATCTGAAAAAGGAACTATTTTCAAGTGAAATACAAATATTTTAATAGATGTGGGAATATTTTTAATGTAGTAAATCTGGAAAGGTTTTAAGATGAAATATCAACAAAATCTATTAATAAAAATTAAACTATTGCATAATGCAGAAACAGTCCAGACTAGCAAAAAAGCTAACTTCCAGCTAACAGTCCATGCAGTACAGAAACAATTTAATTCATGTAGGAATTTGGAAGGACAAAAGAATAATTGTTTTGAAAAGCTCTTCAATAATGGTTGCATTAATCTTCTATAACTGATACAGAAATGTGATGAAAAAAATTAAGGCTGCACAAATGAGAACTTGAGAGAAACAAAATTCACAAATTGGTCTCTCCCTGGTGCTAGATGGGTCGGAATAATAACAATATAGGGAGGAATAATGCGACCTTTTGAGAAATGCTAACTGTTTAAAGTCAGGATTAATTATTTAATCCTCCAAGCAGGATAGAAATGGTTTTGATTCCTGCAAAATTCATTGTAATTCTGTGATGTGGCTTGGATAGCAAGCAGTTGAGAAGTATGGCACTGTACACATCTTCCAAAGAAAACATTTCTTAGCTTTTCCTTTGGTGTAGAGAATAAATCAACCTTCTGCAATCTGGTGACCTCAGGTTTTTGAATCTACATAGATGTGTTGGCCATTGCAGGCTTATATCTGCAGAGCAATATTTGCATTTTGGAGATTTTTATTTGGTAGTAAAGATCCTAAAGTATTAACAGGGAGGAAGTGGAAGGAAGGATTGATTTCCAGTATTGCCTTTACTAGGATTGTTTTAAGCCAATCCGTTCCTGATGGTATTAGGCAAATTACCCTATCTGACTACACCAGAGTGGAAACTGGTGAAAAGTTCCTTTTATAAAGGAAAAGGCTTTCAGCCTAGCCTTCCAAAATTAGAAGTCAGAAATTCAGCCCATGACCTATACGTATTTTAAAATGAAAACATGCAAACATTGTTAAAGCCACTTGCAAAGAGTATATCCTGACAGGCTTAATTAGCAAGCACAATTCCTCTAAAGGTTCAAGAAAGTCATAAATTCAAAAGCAAGATGCAAATGAAGTTTCTGTGGCACATTATGATTTTAATGTTCCATCAAACTGCCATTCTTCATTGTTTTTAATGCAGTCCTCAATTTTTTTAATGCAGTCCTCGACCACAATTGAGCCCAAAATGTATGTTGCTAAGTGAGCAATTTGTTAAGTGAGTTTTGCCCCATTTTATGACTTTTCTTGCTACATTTGTTAAGTGAATCACTGTAGTTAAGTTAGTTAGTTAGTTAGTTAGTTAGTTAGTTATGGTTGTTAAGTGACTTCTCCATTGACTTTGCTTCTCAGAAGGTTGCAAAAGGTGATCACATGACACCAGGACACTGCAACTGTCACAAATGTGAGTCAGTGGCCAAGCCCCTGAATTTTGATCAGAAGACCATGGGGATGTTGCAACGCTCTTAAGTGTGAAAAATGGTCGTAAGTCACTTTTCTCAGTGCTGTTGTAACTTTGAACGGCTACTAAATGAGCTGTTGTAAGTCGAGGACTGCCTGTATATAAATTTTCTCCAATAAGTGTCTTCCTAGAAATTATAGGAGTTATAAAGGAATGACACAAATAGGAAATGGTTACATTACCCAAAATATAAAGGGCAAAGAGAAATATATGATCATATGGATTGAGCCAATTCTGAAAACTAAAAATAAAGGATCATCAGGTAGAACGTTCAGTGTAGTTATATAAACATTGAAGGGAATTTAGTTTAGTTTCACTTTGTACCAGGTGGTACCATGCAAAAAAAAATTTATGTAACACTTTTTAAAATTATACCGCTTGAGTTCACTCTTTTATGTAATTTTAATGACTTTTGGGGTGGGAGGGAATGATGTATCCAGATCTAATACTAGAAATTGAGCAAGCAAAAATAATATTTTTACTCATATGAGTTCTTTGTTTTATTATTAGAGAATCACTTTAAGCAATGTCATTCTTCTCCTAAACTATATAAAATATTGTGACTTTTAGAAAAGATCTTGTTCCCTATCATTTATCCTTTAGCAAGTTGATTTGTATCATTGGCAATTATTTTAATATAACTTTTGACAGTCTGGGGAGGGGGTGGGAAGGAGGAAGAAAAAAAAGTCAGTGAAACTAACTGAGCTTCTACCTAATAGGATTGAATGTGATATCAGCCCTGTGTAAATCCAAACACACATTAGATTCCAACCATTTTCTCTTTTGCTCTCCTCTTCTAAGAAGAAAACTTTAGATTTCAGTTTGAGTCTTTCCTATTTTTTGTACAAACAATATGAAAGCATGTTTCACCACACTAAAAATACCAAGTATCTAGAAATATGCTGCTCAAAAAAATAAAGGGAACACAAAAATAAGACATCCTATATCTGAATGAATGAAATATTCTTATTAAATACTTTGTTCATTACATAGTTGAATGTGCTGACAACAAAATCACACAAAAATTATCAATGGAAATCAAATTTAGCAACCCATGGAGGTCTGGATTTGGAGTTACACTCAAAATTAAAGTGGAAAAAAACACTGCAGGCTGATCCAACTTTGATGTAATGTCCTTAAAACAAGTCAAAATGAGGCTCAGTAGTGTGTGTGGCCTCCATGTGCCTGTATGACCTCCCTACAATGACTGGGCATGCTCCTGATGAGGTGGTGGATGGTCTCCTGAGGGATCTCCTCCCACACCTGGACTAAAGCATCCTCCAACTCCTGGACAGTCTGCGGTGCAATGTGGCGTTGGTGGATGGAGCGAGACATGATGTCCCAGATGTGCTCAATTGGATTCAGGTCTGAGGAACGGGCGGGCCAGTCCATAGCATCAATGCCTTCTTCTTGCAGGAACTGCTGACACACTACAGCCACATGAGGTCTAGCATTGTTGTGCTTTAGGAGGAACCCAGGGCCAACCGCACCAGCATATGGTCTCTCAGGGGTCTGAGGATCTCATCTCGGTACCTAATGGCAGTCAGGCTACCTCTGGTAAGCACACGGAGGGCTGTGCGGCCCCCTAAAGAAATGCCACCCCACACTATTACTGACCCACTGCCAAAGCGGTCATGCTGGAGGATGTTGCAGGCAGCAGAACGTTCTCCACGGCGTCTCCAGACCCTGTCATATCTGCACATGTGCTCAGTGTGAACCTGCTTTCATCTGTGAAGAGCACAGGGCACCAGTGGTGAATTTGCCAATCTTGGTGTTCTCTGGCAAATGCCAAACGTCCTGCACGGTGTTGGGCTGTAAGTACAACCCCCCACCTGTGGACGTCAGGCCCTCGTATCACCCACATGGAGTCTGTTTGTGACCGTTTGAGCAACCACATGCACATTTGTGGCCCGCTGGAGGTCATTTTGCAGGGCTCTGGCAGTGTTCCTCCTGTCCCTTCTTGCACAAAGGTGGAGATAGTGGTCCTGATGCTGGATTGTTGCCCTCCTACGGCCTCCTCCACGTCTCCTGATGTACTGGCCTGTCTCCTGGTAGCGCCTCCATGCTCTGGACAATATGCTGACAGACACAGCACACCTGATTGCCACAGAACCACTTGCAGAACCACTCCTTTATTGGGGATGTCTTGCTAACTGCCTATGCTTTCCACCTGTTGTCTATTCCATTTGCACAACAGCATGTGAAACTGATTGTCAATCAGTGTTGCTACCTAAGTGGACAGTTTGATTTCACAGAAGTGTGACCTGGAGTTACATTGTGTTGTTTAAATGTTCCCTTTATTTTTTTGAGCAGTGTATCAAGTATCTAGAAATATATAATACTGTCTAATATTTAACGTGCATGGCCACTATATTTTAATCATTAAAATAATTTATAAACTGCCCCAAAGATGACATTTCTCGGGCTGTTAAAATAGTTAAAGCCATAAAGGTTCATAGTTAAAGGACCAAAACACTGTATATGTTTTTCTTAAAGGAAAACTGAGTTTTCCTTCAGTTAGTAGGTAATTTGATAGGATTGTAAATATGCTGTATTATAGTTTGTCATAATAATTATATTAATATAAAGGCATGTGAAAGAAAAAAGAGTTTATTGATCTTATGAAACAGTCCAGTTTAATGATGAGTCAGTTAAGTCTGTATCTCACAAATCAAGTAAATAAAATTATGGATTCCAAAGCTAATTGAGAACTATTTAGTGTTTTTTAAAATAATTCCACTAGCTTAGATATTCCTGCCGTTTCTCAGTAAGTGAAGTTGATCCTATATCTTAAAAAAGCCCTACTTACAGATAAATATGTATAGGATTGAAGTCTTAACTTTATATACAGAGAATGATAATAAAGTTACCGGAAAAATTTGTATAAAAAAACTGAAAATTTGAAGCACCTTGAAATTTAAACAATGCTCTGAAAAATAGATTCATTTGTAATTTATCAATAACACTGGATATATCACTATGCGTTGTACAATTTTTGTTCCATATTGTGAACTGAAATTAATAACAACAAATAAAAATGGATTATCTCATCTAATTCAGTATGATTTCTCTTTGGGTTGAAGGGCATTAAGATCTCAAAAATAAAACAAGATTTATTGTCCAGATTGATCAAAATATACACAAAAAATAAACATTACATGACCTTTCTATGAACACTAAATGTTCACTGGAATGGGTTTTTTTTTTACTATTGTATCACAATGAATTTATTATTACTGCATAATTATATTGTCTGCCAAAGCATTCCGAAGTGAACCACTGGTGATGTCATGACATTTTAAATAAATATAATGAATAAAACTATTCTTCAGGATCCAATCTGGGTCGGTCACTGGGGCCAGAGATTTTGTCTTCC